GCAAAGGAATAAAATAAACTAGTATATTTTAAGAAATATTATTTCTCAAAATTTAATGTTTGTCCACGTCTACTTCCAATTTCAGCACTTTTTATATATCCCCACCATCTCTCAGTTTGTCATACTGTGGTGGCTTGTGTGTTGCTGTGACATTGGAAGCTATGCCACCAGTATTTCAAATACCAGTAAGTTCATCCATGGTGGACAGGTTTCAGTGGAGCTTCCAGACTAAGATAGACTATGAAGAGGGACCTGGCAATCTACTTCTGAAAAAATTGGCGAGTGGAAACCTTATGAATAACAGCAGAACGTTGTCTGATATAGCGCCAGAAGATGAGCCCCTCAGGTTGGAAGAGCACAAAATATGACTGGGGAAGAGCTGCCTCCTCAAAGTACTTTCCAATTTTCATTTGCTGATAAGGCATGACCCAAAATGAGAAGAAACAGCTGCAAACATCCATTAATAATCAGAACGTGGAATATGCGAAGTATGAATCTAGGAAAATCAGAAGTAATCAAAAATGAAATGGAACATATAAACACTGATATCCTAGGCATTAGTGAGCTAAAATGGACTGGTATTGGCCATTTTGAATCAGATAATCATATGGTCTATCTCTTAGGTTGGGTTCTCTAGAGAAGCAAAACCAGTAAGGAGTATAAATACATATAAAGAGAGATTTATATCAAGGAAATGGCTGAAGTGGTTGTAGAGGCTGGAACCTCCCAAGCCCATGGATTAGGATAGAGGCTTCTCCTGATTCATATAGCCGAGGATCCAGTGCAAGCAAAAGCCAGAAGGTCCACCTATATTCTGGTGCAGGCCACAAGCCCAAGGGAACTTCCTTTCAACTGATTGGCTACTCACAGCAGATCCCAACATGGGGGTGATCACATATCACATATCACATCTCAACATTATATGACTGCCAAAACACTGAGAATCATGGCCCAGCCAAGTTGACACACAGTCTTAACCATCATAGTCTTCTATGCTGGGAACAGCAAATTGAAGAGGAATGGCATTGCATTCATCATCAGAAAGAACATTTCAAGATATATCCTGAAGTACAACACTCTCAGTGATAGGATAATATCCATACAACTACAAGGAAGGCCAGTTAATATAATTATTCAAATTTATGCACCAACCACCAATGCCAAAGATGAGGAAATTAAAGACTCTCACCAACTTCTGCAGTCTGAAATTGATCAAACATGCAATCAAGTTGCATTGATAATTATTGGTGATTGCAATGCGAAAGTTAGAAACAAAGAAGAAGGATCAGTAGTTGGAAAATATGGCCTTGGCAATAGAAATGATGCCAGATATTACATGATAGAATTTTGCAAGACTAATGACTTGTTCATTGCAAATACATTTTTCCAACAATATACATAGTGACTATACACATGGACCTCACCATATGGAATACACAGAGATCAAATTGACTACATCTATGAAAAGAGATGATGGAAAAGCTCAATATCATCAGTCAGAACAAGCCTAGGGGCCGACTCTGGAACAGACCAGCAATTACTCATATGCAAATTCAAGATGAAGCTGAAGAAAATTAAAACAAGTCCAAGAGAACAAAAATATGACCTTGAATACATCCCACCTGAATTTGAAGACCATCTCAAGAACAGAATTCACTCATTGAACACTAATGACTGAAGACCAGATGAGTTGTGGGATGACATCAATGACATCATACATGAAGAAAGCAAGAGGTCATTAACAAGACAGGAAGTAAAGATCAAGATGGATGTCAGAAGAGACTCTGAAACTTGTCCTTGAACGTAGAGTAGCTAAAGCGAATGTAAGAAACGATGAAGTGAAAGACCTGAACAGAAGATTTCAAAGGGTGGCTCGGGAAGACAAAGTATTACAATGAAATGTGCGAAGACCTGGAGTTAGAAAACGAAAAGGGAACAATACTCTCAGCATGTCTCAACCTGAAAGAACTGAAGAAAAAATTCAAGCCTCGAGTTACAATTCTTGAAATAGTCTACGGGCAAAATATCGAATGATGCAGGAAGCACCAAAAGAAGATGGAAGGAATATACAGAATCATTGTACCAAAAATAATTGGTCGATGTTCAACCATTTCAGGAGGTAGCATATGATCAAGAACCAATGGTATTGAGGAAGAAGTCCAAGATGCACTGAAGGCATTGTCAAAAAACAAGACTCGAGGAACTGATGGAATACCGATTGAGATGCTTCAACAAATGGATGCAGTGCTGGAGGTGTTCACTCATCTGTGCCAAGAAATTTGGAAGACAGCTACCTGGCCAATAGATTGGAAAAGATCCATATTTGTTCCCATTCCAAAGAAAAGTGATCTAATAGAATGCAAAAATTATTGAACAATGCCATTAATATCACATGCAAGTAAAATTTTGCCGAAGATCATTTAAAAGCCATTGCAACAATACATTCACATGGAACTACCAGAAATTCAAGCCAGATTCAGAAGAGGTTGTGGAATGAGGGATATCATTGTTTATGTCAGATGGATCTTGGCTGAAAGCAGAGGATACCTGTGTTTTATTGACTATGCAAAAGCATTTGACTGTGTGGATCATAACAAACTATAGATAACATTGCAAAGAATGGAAATTCTAGAACACTTAATTATGCTCATATGGAAACTGTAGATGGACCAAGAGGCAGGTGTTCAAACAGAACAAGGGGATACTGCGTGGTTTAAAGTCAGGAAAGGTGTGTGTCACAGCTGTATCCTTTAACCATACTTATTCAATCCTTATAATGAGCAAATAATCTGAGAAGTTGGACTATATGAAGAATGTGGCTTCAGGATTGGTGGAAGACTCAGTAACAACCTGCTATATGCAGATCACACAAACTTGCTTGCTGAAAGTGAAGAGGACTTGAAGCGCTTACTGATGAAGATCACAGACTACAGCCTTCAGTATGGATTACACCTCAACATAAAGAAAACAAAAATCCTTACGATAGAACCAATAAGCAACAGCATGATAAACGGGGAAAACATTGAAGTTGTTAAGGATTTCATTTTACTTGGATTCACAATCAATGCCCATGGAAGCAGCAGTCAAGAAAGAAAATGATGTATTGGGCAAATCTGCTGCAAAAGACCTCTTTGAAGTGTTAAAAAGATGTCAGCTTGAGGACTAAGGTGTACCTGACCCATGCCATGGTATTTTCAATCGTCTCGTATGCATGTGAAAGCTGGACAACAATAAGGAATACTGAAGAATTGATGCCTTTCAATTGTGGTGTTGGCGAAGAATACTGAATATACTATGGACTGCTAGAGTAACGAACAAGTCTGTCTTGGAAGAAATACAGCCAGAGTTCCGCTTGGAAGCGAGGATGGTGAGACTTTGTCTCACATACATGTTATCAGGAGGGACCAGTCCCTGGAGAAGGACATCATGCTTGGTAAGGTGAAGAGTCAGAGAAAAAGAGGAAGATGGTCAACGAGATGGATTAATACAGTGACTGCAACAATGGGCTCAAAGATAGCAATGGTTGTTTGGATGGCACAAGATCAGGCAATGATTCATTTTGTTGTACACGGGGTCAGTACAAGTCAGAAACAACTCGATGGCACCTAACAACAACATATTTATATATAGGAATTCCTAGGTGGCTGTCATGTGTTGAATTGTGTTCCCCAAAAATATGTATCAACTTAGCTAGGTCATGATTCCCAGTATTGTGTGGTTGTCCACCATTTTGTGAGCTGATGTGATTTTCCTATGTGTTGTAAATCCTACCTCTATGACGTTAATGAAGCAGGAGTAGAGGCAGTTATGTTAATGAGGCAGAACTCAATCTACAAGATTAGGTTTTGTCTTAAGTGCATCTCTTTTGAGATATAAAAGAGAGAAGTGAGCAGAGAGACATGGGGACCTCACACCACCAAGAAACAAGAGCCAGGAGAATAGCACGTCTTTTGGACCTGGCGTTCCTGAGCTGAGAAATTCCTAGAGCAGGGAAAGATTGATGACCAGTACCTTCCCCTGAGCCGACAGAGAAAGTCTTCCTCTGGAGCTGGCACGCTGAATTTGGACTTCTAGCCTACTAGACTGTGAGAGAATATATTTGTCTTTGTTAAAGTCATCCACTTGCAGTATTTCTGTTATAGCAGCACTAGATGACTAAGACAGTGGTGCAAACAGATAAGCGCTCAGCTACTAGCCAAAAGGTTGGTAGTTCGAACCCATCCAGAGGCACATAGAAAGAAAGGCCTGGCCATCTACTTCCAAAAGGTCACAGCCATGAAAATCCTATGGAGGGCGGTTCTACTCTGACATACATAGGGTTGGCATGAGCTGGAATGGCAACTGGCTTGTTTTCTGTTTTTATATTTATATATATTGTTATTTACACAGTACGGAGCAGTACTATGTAACTGTTACACAAATTTCACATTATTTTGTTTCTCGTAAGCATTGTATATCTGGATTCAATCACTACTATGTCAAAATATCTACTTTCTTCAGTGCTGAAAGACTCTATTTCAAATTTACGTGTACCTCCTTTGTGTTTTCCAAACTTCTCTGATAGCAAGCTTCATCTAGGTGCTTATTAAAGTACATATTCCCCATCCCCATCCCCTGGAGATACTTAATTTTTAGGTCAGAATGAAGTTAGGGAATTACTGGTATTTTTAGCAAGTGCCTTCAGTGATGCTGATCACTGATCTCCATGTAAGAATTAGCATACGCTCAACAATGTATAGTTTTAAAGGATAACATAAATGACTTGAAATATTTTTCTTAAAATACTTGAGAAATGTTGAAGACCTGAAGGCAATAAGTTATCTCTGATGTCAAACTTATCTTGGTTTGTCACCAAAATGAATGAGAGCTAAGGAAACATAAAGAAAGAGCTCTGTAGTAAGCTAGGACCATAGGCTACTGTAGACTACTTTTCCACTTTCTCAACTCTTTGATCTTCCCTTTTCCCTTCCCTTCCCTCTTCTCCTTCCTTTAGCACTTACCTGAGTTCTTCTCTAACTTCCACACTGGTGTTCCCTGCTATAACAAACACTTCATTCATGTCATCAGTCAGCAAGTTGCAGGCATAACCAATGTTGATGGCAGTTTCTGATAAAAAAAAAATGAAGCACAAATGAGTTAGAATATTACTTGGTAACATAAGTGCCTTTTTCGTAAGTTTCAAAGCAATACTTGTAGTTCTTTACAGACTGCAGGCCCCCTTAATGTCAAACAGAGCATGATAAATGATAAAAGGAAAGAGACACAGAGGGAAATTCAAAGATCTGGGTTCCATGACTAAGTTCACCACTTGGTGAAGTAACAATATATATGGATCTAGCCTTCTCATCTACTTTCAAAAATCTCTTGATTCTCAAAATAGTACTCCTGAAAATATCTTAAGATCTTGTGATATAGTCAAATGTACAAATACAAAATATTTTACCCGAAGTTTCACATAGTGCCTTTTGAGAGCTAAAATAATAAACTTAGCTAATATTCAGTTCTGATATGGTAGGCAAATTAAAGAAAAAGCTCACAAAATATACAATTGAACAATAAAAATGTTCCTCTAAAATTCTTATACTTCTCCTGCATGCCACATTGCCATTAAATGAGTAGAAACTTGGGATTTGACTAACATCTCAATAATCACCCAGGATTGCTGATACTAGAGAACTGGAAAATTACATGATGTTAAGCAGTTCCTCCTGTAATTTTATAGAAATGGATCCTAGGATAGTTAGGTAACCTCTTCCATTTTCAGTAGTCATTAGGTTCTATCTAACTCTACAGAGTCACTAGACTCTAGTTAACTCTATAGGGTTATTGGATGTGCCCTAAATCAAGGAAGGCAATTGATAAAATCTCAGCATATCCTTTGTGTATATATATATATATACATATATATATATATATACCCATTGTTGAGTCGATTCCAACTCATAACGACCCTATAGGACAGAGTAGAACTGCCCCACAGGGTTTCAAAGGAGTGTCTGGTGGGTTCAAACTGCTGACCTTTTGATTAGCAGCAGAGCTCTTAACCATAGTGCCACCAGGGCTCCATCCTTTGTATTAACTACAGAAATTGAAGCCAAGTAATAGTAAACTTACGAGTGTTTGTAATGAAGGGAACAGCTGTTCCCATTGATCAATATCAAATTCTAGGGAGTCTCTATCTAGTAACACACCACTGGGCTCAACTCTCTACTGTTTATTTTTTGTAATCAGTGATTTGGATGAAGATATAGAGAACTGATTTATCACATCTAAATTCCCCAATGCTCTTTTAAAAATACCTAACAGATAGAATCTTAAAAGAATGTGTGTGTCAGTTAATTGAACATTATCAGCTTCCTGATGGTCAAGCATAAAATCATTTTTGGTTTTCACCATTACTGCTAGCAACAGATCCAAAATGTACTGATTCCCTTTTTCTGTTTTAGAAAACACCATATTCTGACCATAATAATTCTTTCTCTGATAACTTAGCATGTTTGTCATGATTGGAGGTGGTTCCATTCTCACTGTTTGTATGGGCAGTCCTGGAATTCAGCTAGTTTGTACTGGGACAGCTGTAATGGTTATTAAGATACCAAAATATTTCCATACCAGTTGATAAACAGCTGCTGCCCTGAGTTTCTCCAAAGCCTTCTCTCCATCCTGGCCCCTCCTCCAAAATCTCCCAAACCTCCCTGCCATCTAGAAACTAAAGGAGAGACCTTGAGGATTTCAGTGTCCTGCTTCAGTGCTGTGCAAACATCTGTCCTCATTGGGGGCAACACTCATATGGAGCTGTTGTTAAACATTCTTAATACCATTGTTGCCTATAGGTATAACTATTACAGTTAAGAGAAACAGGCAATTGGGCTGAAAGTCAACTGACCCTAGGGTATACTGTTGAAGGTATCTTGTTAGTTTGTCTTAGTTTTGTTGAGTTTCTCAATAATAAATTCTTGCAATGTATTAGCTTTCTTTTTGTGTCTCAACTCTTTCCTATATGGAGGACTGAACAAATATTTAATTAATTAAGCTTTTTGGTTAATTACAATTTTACCATAGAAGTTATTTTCCCTTTTTCAAAACATCATGATAATTCATTTTCAAATTACCTTGTTTGTCTCCTGTTAGGACCCAAATCTTAATATTGGCTAGTGATAAACTTGTAATCGTTTCGATAACACCCTCTTGTAACTTATCTTCTACAGCAGTGGCACCTAGTAGCTTCATTGAAAAATAGAGATTACCTTAATGTTAATGCATGCAACCAACATTCATTACATCTATAGCTTTTAATCACAGAGTCTAGAGATCAAGGAACATAGAATGAAGACAGAAATTATGATGCGTTGATGTAGCAATCATCCCACTACGTGCAGAAATGGTCTGGAAGGGACCTCAAGTCAAGCTAAGTGAGGGGCACACTAATTAATGACAGAGATCCTGGGAACTAGAATATTCATGATAGGGCGTAATATGCTCAGACAGCATGTTAGTTTGCACGGTCAGAAGCCATTTGGGACTCTAGGGACTTAAGAACTCCTAGCTGCTAGCCCACATGTATCAACCATGGAGGTCCAAAGCAAAGCCCTCACCCTATAGTCAGGAGGCTGATCACAAAAAAAAAAAAAAAAAAAAAAAAAATTAGAGCCATTCCCCAAACCAGCAGATGCCAAAAACTAAAAAGTGAAGGCTCCTGTGCTCTAATTTATCCAAAAATGAACAAGGCACCCTCCCTAGTACCTCACAATGGCTGAGCAACCCAAACACTGGGGTGTCAGGGAAGAGCGGTTTCCAGAATAGACCACACTCTGGACAGCACATATATCAGCAGAATCTCATGTGCCCAGGATGGTTTAGAGCCAGAGTGCCACTCTTCATGGCAATTTCCCTGCTATCAAAAGGTGAGTCTTAAAGCAGAAAGATGAAATAAAACATCAACGGTATACTGGAGGCTGACAAAAAATAAGGTGCCCTCTGTTTTGTACTATTGGGGACTTTCAACTGCATAAGCTACCACTAGTAGAAATACACCTCTAAGCCCTCAAAGGCCACACATGGCAAACACAAAGCCAATGTATAAAGCATGAGTCAGTGTTTGGAAGAGTAACATTGGCTGTGTGCAAGATGATTTAGCCAATGGCTTATTCCTATGCTAGATCTCTAAACATGTACTATCCCTTTTCTAAACATGAACCAGCATGTTTCTAAACTCATACCATCAAATCTTTTTCAATTTCTTCATAGAGCCCAGCTATCCGCTTATCTCTCTCATCTATGGCAACATTTGCGTCTTCAAGCATTTTATACCACTCTTTAAAGTACTTGTCATCCAGATCTCTGTATGCAATGGCTAAGGTTCGGAGGCATTCCCCTGCAAATTCCTGCCAGAGAAGACATAGATTGGGAATAGTCAGAACACAATAATCACAGTAGTAATAACAACAACAAGTTTTTCACTCAAATGCTTGACCATACTGGCCTCCAACATTTTAGCTACTTGGAAATGGGAGATAATGTTTGGATTTTGTATTCCATTTCTATAGGGTTAAAATATTCAAGGGAGCTAGCCTTCTCACTAAAGACAGCTGAAATGCCTGCAGAAGTGTCTTAATTGAGAGGTGATCAATAGTGCCGATGCCTTGAGATATCCATTTGAAGCAACAGATACTGGGTTCCAACCTATTATTTGCCTGAAGGAAGTTCTCCTGGCCATGACAGGGGCCCAACTTGTTTCATGACCAATGGCCCTCACATTCTAGTGGAGAGGACAGAACACTCAGGGGAGCCATAGCTCTCAAATCACAGAAAAGGCAGGAGGCTCTCTCAAGGGAATGCAGCATGACATCTCACAAAGTCTTGTCACATTCCCTTAGTAACATAATTACATCTAACATTAATTAAGTCCTAGCTATGTGACTGGCACTGTTCTAAGCACTGTTCATGATTTTCCTAATTTACCACAAATATATTACCATTATTGTTTCCATTTATAGATGATATAGCTGAGGCACAGAGAGTTTGAGAAACCTGTGTTAAGTTCACCCAGCTAGCAACTTGCAAAGCTGGGATTCAAGTTCAGGTCTTAACAACAGAGTCTGAGCTCTTAACGTACATTTCTGAGCCACAGCTCTTCTCTAGGCAGTGCCATGGCTTCAGGGAGGAAGAAAAGGCCACTAATAGCACAAAGACTATTGTGCTCATAACAATTCTGAAAATTCTGTACACTACTGGTACATGTGTTGAAGCACACAATCTTTGCCTTCTGAAACCAGCTTATTAAATGTCATGATCTCATTTGGGCAACCTGAGTCACATTCTGAAGGTGACATGCCATTTCCCACCTTGAACTCCCATACCATGTTTTAATAACTTCATTGTGGCACATGTCACATTTTGTTTGTTTTTATAGGTATCTGTAAAGTTGTCTCATCACTCCTGCTAGACTGAGAACACTTACGAGCAGAGATCATGAGCTCCCCATCCTTAAATCCATTACCACATATAGAGACAGCATACATTTCTAAAAAAATCAATCTCTACTCCATAGTGACATTCTTAGTTTAAAAGCCAAATGAATATTCTTCTGGAATCAGACCACAATGTAAATTGTCATGTTAGTGATAAGATTTTCCTGAAAAATCATCTAACAACAACAAAATTTTTATTTGTAGAGCCCTTTACATTGTATTTCAAAACACTTTTATACTCATTATTCCATCTGACAATTGTGGTTGAAGATAGATAAGGTGAGTTAAAGAAGATAGGGAAAGCATTTCTTAGAAGCAAAATGGCCACACAAAAATAGGACAAAATAAGTACACCTTTTTCCTGATTCCTGGGATTGGATTTTTTTCACAAAATCCTGTTATCTTCTTAGCTATGCTGAGGTTGTCATTGAATGGGCCACACCCTGGACAGTGTAATATTCATTCTGTGGCCTGATATAACCCTATTCAGCACAGGAGACTGAGAGTCTTCAGGAGCCCAGCAGCAGTGACCCTCCTGTTGGGCTTCGGCAGTTGGAGAGAAGATAATGCCTGGTCAAGTACATGTCTCACCCAGAATACTTACACATACACTAAAGTATATAATTGTCTGAGTTGACTCTTTAAATAGTGAGTACCTGATAGGCAATTGGTAACTCAAAAGTCTTATGGTTTTATCCTCTGGCTTCTCAACATTATGTTTGTGAGATTCATCCATTTTTGCATATAGTTGTAATTCATTAATTCTCATTGCTGTATAGTATTCCACTGTCTGGATATACCATAATTTCTATTCATGATGGGCATTTGGATAGTTTCCTTTTGGGGGCTATTATGAATATTTCTGTGAATATTATTATGCTTAATTTCTGATGAATCTACACAGACATTTTCATGCGGTATACACCTAATAGTGGAATTGCTGGGGTCAGAGGGTGTGAATACATCCAGCTAAAAAAGATACTAAGCAAATAGTTGTCCAAAGTGGTTGTATCAGTCTGTATTTCATCCAGCAATATATGAAAGTTCTGGTTGTGTCATATCCTCACCAAAATTTAGTATTTTCTGTCCGTATTGTATGATTACATTTAGTGATGTGCTGGTAAGCCTGCTCTGGAGGATGGGGAGGAGCCCTGTTTTGTAGCATTTGTCAGTTTCAATGGTATAAATTCTCCCTCCATGACCAATTTCAAACTACCAATAGTTTAAGAAATTATTCACAAAATTCTTGAATCTTTAAAAATTGACTCTTATGAACTGATATGAGCCACCTCAAGCATACTAATGATTCCATTTATAAAAAGCTTAAAAACAGGCAAAATTAATCTACGGTATTAGAAGTCAGGATAAAGGTTACCTTTGCAGGGGAGAGGAGTGGCAAGAAAAGGGCAAAAAAGGGACTCTAGGATTCTGGAATATTCTTTTTTGATCATAGTGCTGGTTTACATGGATATCTTTATTTTGTGTAAATTCATCAAGCTATGTACTTTTGATTTGTGTGCTTTTCTGAATACGCTATACTTCAATACAGATGTTTAAAGGTTACATATTACCCCAAGTGGTTTTCTGCCAGGTAAGCAAAATCTAGCATAAAAGAGAAAATGTTAGAGATGGATTTGGTGTGCTCAAATTCCTGTACATGGCTGGAAGAAAAGGAACCTTCACAGCACTTCTACCAGCGTAATGGAGAATTTTCTCTATTTGGGGCCAATATATTTTTAATCTTCAAATTTTCAATTTTTAACAAAAAATTCATTGGGGATTCTAGATTTAAATTGGTAAACTCAGCACACGCATCTCCTTCCATTTCTTTCCCAAGTTCCATGAAATTAAAGAACAGATTTTAAGAATGAAGCCATAAAAGAAAAGAAGCAAGAGATCAGCAAAGACCAGAAAGTTTGAGAAAGGAGACGATAAGAGGTCAGACTGACAGAGATAACAAAGCAGAGAAAACGGTGACCCAAAATTCCAGAGAAGAGTTATCTTCTCATGCGGGCACTGGATAATGTCCAAATTTGGAAGCAATAAATACAAATAGCTGGAGTTGCCCCAGGAAAAAGCTACAACATAATTTAGTAAATAATTGAACTTGGTACATCTGGGCCTGTCACACCTATCCCAACTCTCCCTCCCCCTTTCTCAAATATTCAGGGTGAAAAGGCAAAGAGATGGAAAATATGAGAAAAATGAAGTAACATGATGGTTCAATCAGAGAAATCAATTATCCATCTAATAGGAATTCTAGAAACATAGCGAAGAGACAATGTAAGAGAGAAAATAATTTAAGAGACAACAGAATTTTTCTCTGTGTTGAAGAGTGACTCCTGTCTTCATATCAAAAGGATCCACAGAGTACTGGGCAGGATGAATGAAAAGATTCCTACACCTCCATAGATCCTGAAAAACTTTCAGCATTCCAAGGATTAAGAAAAGAAAATCCTTAAAAAATTCCAGAGAGAAAACAGATTACCTACAAAGGACTATGATTCAAACTAACGTCAGACTTCTCATCAGCATCTCTCAGTGCTTAGAAGACAAATGAGCAGTAAGTTTAAAGTTCTAAGAGATAATGATTAATCCCATGAATTCTATACCCAGTCAGAACATTAAGCAAATCTAAAGTCAAAACAAGAACATTTTGGGGCTTGCAAAAACTCAGAAAGTTTACCACCTATAGATCCTCCTTGAAGTATTACTCAATGATATGCTAGAGCAAAATGAAAAAAGAATATAAGATACCATGTAAGATGAGATAAACCCAACAGTGGTAGCTGAGTATCACTTAGAAGAAACAAAGAAGCTAAAAATAAAGTAGAAGAAAACTCATTGGCCATGACATATGGAAAAATTTTCTTGAGATGGTAGAGGTTAAGCAACAGAATTATATTTCCTCCTTTGTGGATTCAGTCATGTGATTGTTCTTCAGTGAATAACATTGACATGATCACAATTCTATAAATGCCATTTTTACTGAATATACATATTACAATTAACCTGTAAACAAAGTAATAAAAACTTGATTTTAGCTACAGAATAGAATGTAAATGCTATAAGCCTTGACAAAGTAAAAATAATATAAAAAGTGAGAGGTGTAGGGAATGGAAAAATGAGAGAGAATGTCACTGTGCTAATTATGTATCCTTCACAGCGGCGAATCAACAAATACTATCTCAATTTGATAAATCACAGAACTATTTACAAGTGAAATAAAATTATGCCTTGAATTTGCTTTAAAATAGTTCAGTAAAAAAATAAGTTCTAGATGGGATTAGATAAAACAGGATTGGCAAAATGTTGACAATTGTTGAAGCTGGGTGGTATGTATGTCTCCTTTTGTATCTGCTTGAAATTTTTTAAATTAATAAGTTAAAATTAAACAATAATTGAATAAATAAATGTTAGAGTATAGAAATCTAAGTATATTACTCAAGGTTATAACAATAACTTAAAGGAAAAAAGGAGATACAGAAAGAGAAGCTAATATAAGTGGTTGCTTCTGAGAAGCAGGGTTGGAAGTGGACGCTGATTTTTATTTTTCATTCTAGACTCTTTCGTATAATTCGTTATTTTTTGCTATGTGAAAGTTTTATTTTAATAATAAAAAGTTGTTTGAAAATATGTTTCATGTAGTTAGTATTTAATCATTGGTTGAATTGATTGGGGTGCCATACTTCTTTGTTGTTGTTGTTGTGTGCCATCGGGTCAATTCCAACTCATAGTGACCCTATAGAATGGAGTAGAACTGCCCCATACAGTTTCCTAGATTGTAATCTTTAGAGGAGCTGATTGCCAGGTCTTTTCTCCCACAGAGCACCTGGTAGTTCAAACCGATGACCTTTTGGTTAACAGTCGAGCGCTTAACCATTGCACGACAAGGGCTCCTTACTTCTCTTTTA